TATATATGCTATAACTATCACTAATAAAATATATAATATAACTAATATATATATGAAATATATAATAAATATGATATATGATATATATATAACAAGTAGTAAATGTATCTCAAAAACTATAGGTAATAGATATAGTACATGTAACGAATCTCATGCAGTAATCGCTCAGCCAATTAAATTACACAGATTATGATAAAAAGCCAGATCTTAATTATCTCAGAATCTAGTGATTGGATTTTAATAATTCTTGTCTCATTAGAACTGTCTCAGTGAGCTGATTCTAATGGTATATATTTTATCTAATTCGGGCTAGTGAATCAAAAGATATTAAGGAATTTGTAGCTTTTCTTAATATTTTATAGGTCAACATTCTTCTCAGTTTATTTTCAAGTTCTATAAGAAGTTAATATAGAGTTACAAGATCTATCAAGCAAAGGCTCTTAATATTTGTTAAGGTTAAGAACTTTGTTTAGTAGATAGTTTCTTCTTGTCCATTTGATACAAAGAGTTTGTAAGTTCGAGTGAAAACTATTTTATAGTATTTTTTAAGAGGTTCACTAAAACTGTTCATTAGGCTAGGGTCTTTGGTTATGTTTCCAAAAGTTCTCCTAAATAATAGGCATAGAGAAGGCTCTTAATTCTATTATTTTCATCATTTCAGAGTCTTGCAGTTTTTCTCAATTCTTCATAGACCTTTTTAACTTTTTTTTTTGTTCTATCTGAATAGTAATAGGGAGAAAGTTCTACGATTATATCAACAGGTTTTGTCTGATTGAGTTTTTGTTAAATAATTTCTACAACAGTGGTCATTTTGAGATTATAAACTATAAATTTTTGCTAAACTAAGAGTAAAAGAAATAAAATAGAGATAAAATAAAAATAAAAATAAAAAAAAATATTCTATATCAGAAACGTGAGTATATGGTTTTACTAGTAACTAAATTGAAGGCAAAATCTAAAAGCTGATTGGAAGAAGGTTCTTGAAGCTAATTAGATTGTGTTTTGGTATACAAAGTATGTTGCTTTTGCACACTTATTATTAATAGTTCTTTATGATATAAAATTTTGTTACTTTTGTAGACTTGTCTTTAGACTAGAATAGAAGAATATATTAATTAATATGTTATAATGACAAGTTGAGGTTAGAATAGGAGAATATATTAAAGCAGAGACAGTGATCAATTTGATGAGAGGAACTGTTAATATTATACCAAATAATATTATATCCATCACATTTAAAGTTACATATAAATAATTTTAATTTAACAGATCACCTCAGTGTGAAGAATTATTTTCATAATATATGTTTTAGAGTAAACTTAAAATAAATAATTTTATTATTGATCAACTATATTGTTTAAAAAATTGATATTTAAGATTGATGGTTTCTCCTGTTGCCTAATCTAAAGTAAATTCCTCTCACTTGTGATCAAATTATTTATGTTATATTCGATTATGATAGATATAGTCTCTCAGAGTTTTAAAATATATATAATATTAACAATCTCTGCTATTAGAATATGCTAATTAATATCTCGTAATAATTGAAATTTTTATATAAGTGAATTGATTAAGATATACCTCATAATAGCCTTTGCAAAAAATATTAAAAATAATAAATAAATGTAGTTATTGTTTATTTTGATTATAAATTATTAAATCATGAATTTAATTTTATATCAACTCTATAATTACATAATTTTGATTTAATATTTGAAAATAGACTTACAAAATGTGAAATAAATTTATGAAAAAAGTGCTTATACAAAAATCAGATGTAAAATTCATATGAGATTCTTATTGCATAATGAAATAGTTTATTAGAGAAACATTTTCTGATAAATAAATAAATTTATATTTATAATTTTATTTTATATTAAATAATAAAAAAACTTATATATTCGCTTTATTGTAAGTAAATAAATCATATTCATAAATAATTATAGTTAATTAATAATTTCATATGATGTAATATGTTATTATTGCAAAACAAATAAAAAAAGCTAATAAGCTTTTTCATATTATTAACAGATTATACCTTACAATACCTTGCTGTATTGATATAATCATAAAAATAAATTAGGTTCATTAGACAGATAAGGAAGAGTCAAGATTAGCTATGTATAGACAATCAGTGTATATTCGATTGAAAGCAAAAATCAAGAAATAGAAATTATTCTTTTTGTTCTAATAAATGAGAAAGAAAGAGATCCTAATACTCAATCAGTTTTTATAAAAAATAAATATTATAGTATATGTAGAAAAGTCGTATCTAGAACTTATAATAACAAATTAAGACTAAAAGTAAGTATAGATATATTTAAATAAAATGTGATAATAAATATTAATATTTGACAAATTTAGATGACAGCTACTTCTTCAACCTATTTAACAATCAAAAGAGACCTTGGCTCTAATAGATATCTATTGAAAACTTTATTAGTTGGTACTTTACAAAATATACTAAAAGAAATTGATAATGAAAATGTAATATTCAAATTATCAGTAAATGATTATGCTGCACAGCATTATAATTTTGTTATTAAAATTGTATTTCTATATAATAACAACTGATTCAAGTACTTGATGAATTCGATTCATCTAAATGAATTAGTACTTTTTATTATAGAACATATAGAAATTATCAATAATGATCTATATATCTACTCTACTGATATCTTTCTTATTGATATTAATTTTATAGCTAAAAAAAAGAGGTCTAATTTAAATAATTCTCAAACTACATCTGAAATATATAAATCTGTTCAAGAAAACTCTTAAGCACACATCAAAATGCTAATAAAAAATCATCTATTGAAACTTCAAACAAACTAGATAAATATACAATTGACTTAACTACTGAAAATTCTCACTTCTCAAAATATGCAAGAGTAGAAAATACAGAGGATGATAATAATCTTTATAAACAAAATGCTGAATGTAGTAAAGTATATATAAGTAAGAATAATAAATATGATAGTGATATTGATATTATTGATGAAAGTAAATATGTTATACATAATCATGGAAAGATAAACAGAAGTAAAGAAGAAATAGCACAATCTGTAGTATATAATACAAGAAGCTAAACTAAAATGGTTAAAAATATAAATAAAAAAAAATGAACATATAAATTTAGCATATCTGTTTAAAAAAATAAACTTTCATATTATAATATATTTGTAACTAAAATATGTATGTATTCAAATATCTAAAATATAAATAAAACAAATATTCATATCTTTATTTTTTCAAATAAATTGAATTGAAAGATAATAAATTTAATAACAATAGAACTAGTATAATAATTAAGATAAGTTAAACTTTGAAAATAATTAGAGATAAATAATATGTAAAAAACAAAAAAATACTTTATTACCAATAATAATTAAAGCTTACTTCTGAATATCTAAAAAATTATAATTACTATATTAACTAGTAATTATACTCATACCAATGAAGTACAACTACTGATTAAAAAGATCTTTACATACATTTACATATTATTATTTCAAAAATTATTAAAATGTAAAAATTAATGCCTATGATAAAATTGTCCAAATTATATTAACTAAAATTAACCTCTAAAACAAGATCATATATGCTATAATATAATATTATGATAAGAATTATTCTTTTACAATTAACTCATAAATACATATATCATTAGTAATTTTAGAATATAAAGTAAATATAATATTATAAAATTATCCTCATAATTGAATTATATATACTTTAAATTAATAATTTCAAGTTTCAAACTAGTATAAATCCAAAAAACTATCTCATGCTATTATAATGTAATTAAAATTACTATATTTTCTATAATTAAATTGTATATATATTTAAAATATCTTGTATATTATATAGAGTTGAGTCAATAGAAATCAAGCAAATTTTTTCTAAATAAATTTTTTTGAAACTTTAACTAACAATAACTTAACAATAACTTAATCAAAATCAATAAAAATTTTTTTAAAATAAATATTACAAATTGTAGAATTTATTTAAAAAACTTTTTATTAAATTTGATAAAGTTTTTGTTGAGTTATTGTTGTTTAAAGTTTCAAAAAATTGTTATTGTAATTTAAAGTTTCAAAAAAATTTTAATAAAAACAATTTACTTGATTTCTATTAATTCACTCCCAAATATTATCAATTATAACTTAATATTAAAAATCATACTTGCATTTAATTAGCTATTTCTAGAAAATATCCTGATCATGATTAGATTTTCTTCTCATACAATAAATCATAGAAAATCTCTTTTCACGATACAGAACATGCATAATGATACATAAAATATTTATATATATAACAATATAATCTTATCTCATGCTGATCAAATAAATAAATCTTATGCTATTATAATGTAATTAAAATTACTACGTATATCTTCTATAACTAAATTATGTATATGTTTAAAATATTATGCATATTATATATTGCTGATTATAACTTAATATTAAAATCATACTTGCATTTAATTAGCTATTTTAAGAAAATATCCTGATCATGATTAGATTTTCTTTCTATATAATAAATTATAGAAAAATCCTTTTTCATAATACAGAATATGCATGATAATAAAACATTTATATATATGACAATATAATCTTATCGCACAATGATCAAATAAATAAAAACTATCTTACACTATTGTAATATAATTAAAATTACTATATCTTCAATAATTAAATTATGTAGATATTTAAAATATCATATACATTATATATTACTGATTATAACTTAATATTAAAAATTATACTTGCATTTAATTAGCTATTTCAAGAAAATATTCTGATCATGATTAAATTTTCTCCTGATATAATAAATCATAGAAAAATCCCTTTTCACAATACAGAACATGCATGATGATAAAGTATTTATATATATAACAATATAATCCTATCTTACAATGATCAAATAAATAAATTTCACGCTCTATATCACTTGTAACATTTTGGTGCCTTCTGGTGGAAATTGAAATGAAAGGCCTCAATCTGGTACACTATCCAACATGAGCAGATGATGATAATACCATGGATGAACCATCGGAATTATGATGCATCTTATCCCAAAAGAAAATCCAAAGAGAAGTTTCTTAGAACGATTTATAATTGCTTATTGTATTTCACTAATATCTCTACGAATATTGAACGTAGAAGGATAAAACATATACCATTCTACTCACAAGAACCTACTCTACAACTTTATTAAGGCATATCTTAGTATGAAAATACTTCCATAGCCCGCAAATTGGCTTCAAAGATTCTATTGGCATTTTCAAAAACGATTTTCTTAGAGAAGACCCAAGAAGAAAAGAAATACATAGTTCTGGCGATTTACAAAACTCGTCATATCTTGGCTTCCTGCGAACAGATTTTAACGTTTTAATATTCGTTAGGACCGTAAGGACATGGTCTACAACTTTACTTAGACACCAAGTCAAGGTTACATAGTACTAATACCCTTCTGGAACAGCTTTTATGAAATTGATCTGCAAAGTATCTTTTTTTTTACTGTGCCATATAGACGAAAATTTTTAGAAATCTTTTCTACCCCTAACATGGTAGATAACCTCCACAAAACTCATTACTTTTAGGTTATCACATACCTATAATAACTAAAGAAAGTGAGTTTTAGAAACTTAGATGCAACCAAACTCTTGGATACCTTATAGAGTTTAAACAACTTTACCTTGGACATGTGACTTGCACATGTATATATTCTTGTAGA